GTTGAGAGCAAAATTCAAGAGTGAGTGAATTCTGAAAATGAAAATGGAATTACGAGGATCCTCCTTATGAGGTTTGGAGCAAATCATTTAAATATGCTCTAGATTAGGAGTAGAATGGTGGTTTGGAATGTGGTTATGAAAATTGGAATGGGATTAGGAATGGGAATTTGAATTGATTTGAAAATTAACCAAAATTTGAAGTGGTTCTAGATCCTTCTTCTGGTGTAATATCAACTTCACAAGTGATCAAAATGGACCCCTAAGTGGTTGTCTTAAAAAACTCACGTGCAGAGGTAAAATTTGGCTTGGTTAATCGGTTAATCATTTGGGTTAATCGATTAACACCTTTAAAATTCAAATTTGTCCCTATTTTGCCTTGGTTAATCGGTTAACCATTTGGGTTAATAGATTAACACCTTTAAAATTTTGAATTTGGCACCTTTTGGAGGGAAATCTGCACATTTGCCTGTTTTCTTGCATGTTTCACCTGTTCTAAGCCCTGTTAAGCTTCTGAAACTTGCCCTTGAATATCAAAACTGTGAAAATGCTTGAGATAGCCTGAGTGTTGTCTCCCGAGCTAAAAATATCCTGCAAAAACAAAATAAAATCGATAGCTCGATCGTTGGGTAAAATAAATGTCGGAGCTGTTCATGCTCGTTGTTCAGTCTCTTGCACTAAAAATGAAACCCGGGCCACAACGATGCCTTTATCCCATGCCTCAAGAAAAAGTGCTATGATATGCAAAATATGCAAAATGCAGAGAAACAAAAGCCAGTTACAGTTAAAACGGAAGGGAAAATTTTTGGGTGCTACATGTGGCCCTAGCGTTTTTTAGGCCGAAGGGCATTACCTTGTAGTAATAGTTACCCAACGAGGTCATGAAAACGGTGTACCTCTTGTCCTTCTCTGCCATGGGAATTTGGTTATATCCCGAGTATGCATCCATGAAGGAAAAGAGTTTGAAACTGGCGAAATTATCTACTAACTTATCAATGTTAGGCAAAGGATAAACGTCTTTTGGGCAGGCCCGATTGAGATCGGTGTAGTCAATGCGCATCCTCCACTTTCCATTATGTTTTTTTGACTAACACAATATTGGACAACCAGGTTTTATACCTGACCTCCAAAATTAATTTCGCCTATAAGAGGTCTTTTATAAGTTTTTTTGATGCTTAAGCCTTTTTATTGGATTGTTTACACCTATGTTGTGCGACTGCTTGAGCTGATGGTTTGATGGTAAGTTAATGGCAAGCAGTCTCAGGATCGATGTCGGGCATGTTAACGACACTCCAGGTAAACAGATCTGTGTTGTCTCTTAGGAATTTCTTCAGCTGCTCCTTCACCTCTTCGGGCAGTCCTGCACCTATCCTAACTCCTCTATTGTGATTGTCCCCGAACGTGATCACCTCGAAGTCCCCGTCTGGTACCGGGCGCATGACAGTTGTGAAAGGGGAGCTTCCCGTTGAAGTTGGTGTGTCTTTGCTGCTATCCTCTTTGCCCTCTTTTGAGATTCGACTGTCGAGTTCAATGGTGTGGACCTGGAGTGCTGGCTTCTTCTCAGGCTGGCTTTCTTCACTGAGAATATCTTCGTCTCTTGCTCATTTGACGGCTTGTAGTGTTGCGCCAATCGAACTCTGTTCCTTGGTAGCTGCCTCGAAGCATCTCCTTACAGCTTTGATGTCTCCATGCAAGGTGGCAACGTGACCCTTCTTGGTATAGTATTTCATCTTGAGATGAACTGTAGATGGAATGACGATCAGCTTGGCAAGTGTAGGCCTCCCCAGGATGCACTGATACAAAGAGAGACATTTGATGACTAAGAATTGTGTCTTAATCGTTTTAGAAGCCTCTTCCTCCCCGAAGATGACTAAGAGCTCCACCTATCCCTAGGGCCTAGCAGTAGCCCCATTGAATCCCTACAAGTCTTACCCCACATATGAGGACAAGTTCTTATGATCAAGCTTAAGGGCGCAGAACAGGCCGGTGTACATGATGTCTACCGAACTTCCTTGGTCGATAAGAATTTGGCGGACATCTGTGTTGGTCAATCTGGCTCTTATGAGTAGAGGAATATGTGTGTTGGGGGAGCCTCCAAGGAGCTCTTCACAATAAAAGGTGATGGGCTGAGAGCGTCCTTGGAACATTTCGAGTGTTTAGATTCAGTTTGGGATACAATCGATCAGCTGGTCAAATTTCCTTTTCACTGATCCTACTGTGAGCTCGTTGTACCTGCCATAGGAGATGATCATCATGATGGGGAAGGCCTCCTAGGAGTTGTGTGTGGAGAAGTATGAAGGATCTTCGAGATAGTCGGGGACAAAAAAGTCATCTGGCCGTGAAACAGACATACATAACAACCTGCGGGAGAGGGCTTGAATTTGAAGCTCTTGTTTCTGTTTTCTTAGACTCGAACGTCTCTCATCAGGGGGCTTCTCCCTTCTTCATATACTGCTTCAAGTGGCACTCCTTGATGAGGATCTTGATGACGTCCTTCAAATGGACACATTCTTCGGTCATGTGGCCATGACTGCGATAAAACCGACAATACTTGCTTCGGTCGGTGTTGCCCTTTAATGTCGTCGGTTTAGGGAATCGTACCCCTCCCTGCTTAATTTCGGTGTTGATACATTTAGAAAGGATACGCTCGCGAGGAGCAGTCATCAGGGTATATTCAGTAAAGCGACCAGCAGGCCCTTTATGATCATGGGGACGATCGTCTTGTCTCCTATAATTTTCGCGCCAAAAAGTTTCTGCCTTGTCCTTCTTCGAAGTCCTGGAACTCTCTTGGTCCCTCGAATCTCTGGATTTGTACGAGGCTTCTTTTTCCTCGTACTGAATGTAAGATTATGCTCTGCGGAGGAGTTTGGCCAGAGAACAAGGTGGATCAATCCCCACCGCCTTACAAAAGTCACTCTTTGTGAGGATCTATAGTACCATCATAGAGAGCCAAGGGGGAGCCTTCTCCAGCCCACGAGGAATGCGAGTGTCCACGATCTCTTGGGATAAAGGTTCATGGATGTTGTCCTCGTCGCTCGTTCTCAACGATCTGCTACGAGAATAACCATGTCCACGACTCATGTTGCATCGAGGAGAGTGCCTAAGCCGACTACGATGCTCTTCGTGAGGATTTTTTGAAGGTCTGGTCCTCTTGGGAGCTGGAGAGTGCTTGTACCTCTAGGGACGGGTACAATTTCTTCTTTTGGTGATCTTGTGTCTGTGTTTCTACGACTTGGAACATTCCTTGACTAGGGAGATGCTTTTAGACTCGTCTCGCCGACATTTCTAAAGAGGGGAGAGAGACTGGAAAGAGGGACTAAGGGATCTCCACGGGGGAGGCCGTTCTCCAAGGGTGTTCTCCAACATGGTTGGATCTTTTCCCCTTGTTGGAAAAGCAAGTAGTTGGATTTGCTAAGGGAGGCGATAAGGGCCACACTGCAGAGATCAGCATCTTGAGGGACGAGTATGGGCTCGTAGATGTGATCGGAATTCTGGACGTGGGGCTTCACGTTGTCGGAGGATGAAGATGCAGGCTTTACATCCCTGTAATCGGTCACCCCGACAGCAGCTCTGGGAATGGGTTTTTCGGCGTAACCCAGGGTGGCGAAAACATAATCTTGATGAATGTCATTATGGTGAGATGCCATGACGATGAAGGTTCAGAGAGAAATATCTTTGGTCTTCTGTATGGAAAGATTGGAGGATCTTGGTTCAAAAAGACGGGGGATCTGGGTTCCCATAGACATCACTACTGATCTAGAGTGATCAGAATGGATCATCGTGGCCTTCAATGTAAGGCAGCAACAATGGTTGTAGGAGAGGAGAGGGTGTACCTGCAAAGTACTCTAATGCCAAAGTATGTTTGGGCTTGAGAGAAAGTAAGTACAAGTGTTTAGGTATGAATTGGAATGATTGGAGTCCCTTACCTTCTCAAGGGAGAGGGTATTTATGAGATTCCCCCAGCGCGGGGCCAAGGTCTCCCATGTGGCCGAAATATCTAGTCGACCAATGGGAGACTTCCAGGTGGAAGATCTAGCGCATCCTCTTTGACCTGGTCCAACTGTCTCTATGAATTCCGAAGGGGAAGTTGGTTGCATGAACTGTCAAGCGCGTGAGGGGGATGTCCCCAACAACTATATTCTCTAATGACTATAATGCGCTCAACAGTCATATTGTGCCCAATGGCTATGTTGTGCCCAACTATCATATTGTCTTCTTATTGGGCCTTGCCTAAAGCTGGACTGGCTTGGGCCTTGCCTAACAGTGGACCATGTGCTAGTATAGTCCAGAACACTATCAATCCTCTTTGTTAATATATCATGAGTTTGAAAAAAATGTTATGTATACTATATTTATAATATTATTATATATTTTATTATTATATCTTGATAGTAATGATAATTTAATATTTTTTTAATATCTAATATTTATACTTCATTTTAATTACTACTCTTTAATTATTATCATTCCATATAAATATTAATTTCTTTTCTCATTTTCCTCTTCTTATCTCCAATATGTTAAATTAACTATTTTTGTTATTATTAGAGAACATGTCTATCTGTTTGTGCATGTAGACATTATATATTTAGTGTGTTCTGTTACCAAACAATACTGTTACTACTTAACTTAGACAATGATTAAGTCTTTTCTCAAGTTATCAGTTGTACCTGCATACAAGCCACCGCAAATTCTGCTTTAACACAAACGTTCCTCTAAAAAAATATGTATAAAACGAAGAAAAAAAAACCCTATTTCTACTTATTTTATTATCAGTTTTATTTAAACTCTAGACAAAGTTGTGTCATATTTTGTTTGAATCAAATATTATTCTTATAGTGTGAAAATACTGATGAAAGCTAACATAGTTGTTCTCATCTGCTAGCTCCTCAAAAGGCAAAGAAAATAATCTCCATTTTCAGGTTCATTTTACAAATTATTAACTTCTTTGCAATAATATTATCATACACATACCAAAATTTTAAGATACACGTGTTTGAGAGATGGGCGGAGGAAGTATTGTCATCTCAAAAAATGGAAAACAATTTGAAGGGAAGGTCACACCTTTCGTCTTGATCACATGTTTGGTGGCGGCTATGGGAGGTCTACTTTTTGGTTATGATCTTGGTATTACAGGTGGAGTGACTTCCATGGAACCATTCTTGATCAAATTCTTCCCTAATGTTTACAAGCAAATGAAAAATGAAACCACGTCCACAAACCAATATTGCAAATTTGACAATGAGCTTCTTACTTTGTTTACGTCTTCCTTGTATCTTGCGGCATTAGTTGCTTCTTTCTTTGCTTCCATAACTACAAGGAAGTTAGGACGCATAGTCTCAATGTTTGCAGGTGGCTTGTTTTTTTTAGTTGGTGCACTTCTGAATGGGTTTGCTGCCAACATTGAAATGCTTATCATTGGTCGCATGTTGCTTGGTTTTGGTGTAGGATATTGTAATCAGGTACGAATTGATATTATTCTTACGCTTTCGTGTTTTTATAGATGAAAAAGTTCATGATAGTATAATAATGGTTGCATTTAATTTTGTTCATTGCTCTTAAACAGTCAGTTCCTGTATATTTATCTGAAATGGCTCCAGCAAAGCTTAGAGGTGCACTCAACATTGGCTTTTCAATGATGATCACAATTGGCATTCTCGGTGCAAACCTTATCAATTATGGAACTTCCAAACTTAAGAATGGATGGAGAATTTCATTAGGTATTGGAGCTGTCCCTGCGATCTTGTTGTGTATAGGATCTTTTTTTCTAGGTGACACGCCAAACTCGATGATCGAAAGGGGTCAAAAAGAAGGAGCTAAAAAAATGTTGCAAAAGATTCGTGGCATTGATAATGTTGATGAGGAGTTTCAAGATCTAATTAATGCAAGTGAGGAAGCCAAAAAAGTGGAGCACCCTTGGAGGAATTTTGTTCAACAAAATTATAGGCCTCAACTCATTTTTTGTTCCTTCATTCCCTTTTTCCAACAACTTACTGGCATCAATGTTATCATGTTTTATGCACCCGTCCTTTTCAAAACTCTAGGTTTTGAAAATGATGCATCCCTCATGTCAGCAGTAATTAGCGGAAGTGTCAACGTTGTTGCTACTTTTATTTCTATCTTTACTGTGGACAAGTTTGGAAGAAGGGCTTTGTTTCTTGAAGGTGGTATCCAGATGTTAATATGTCAGGTGAAACCTAAACTTAACTATTTTTGGATTTTATATTTTAAAATTATTATTGATAAACCATTCAAGCTAAGTCATTTTCTATGAGTAACAAATATAAAGGTTATAACTATTGATTGTAGATTGCTGTTGGAACTTTGATTGCAATGAAGCTTGGAGTTAGTGGTGAAGGCTCATTCACCAAAAGTGAAGCCAATCTTCTTTTATTTTTTATATGTGCATATGTTGCGGCGTTTGCATGGTCATGGGGTGCGTTGGGATGGTTGGTGCCTAGTGAAATATGCTCTCTTGAAGTTCGGTCCGCCGGTCAAGCTACTAATGTTGTTGTGAACATGTTGTTCACCTTTATCATTGCTCAAATTTTTCTTAGCTTGCTTTGTGTCTTAAAGTTTGGACTTTTCTTCTTCTTTGCTGGCTTTGTGCTCATCATGTCGATTTTCATTGCCTTTCTTCTTCCAGAGACAAACAACGTTCCTATTGAAGAAATGAATATGTTATGGAAATCTCATTGGTTTTGGAAACGATTTGTTCGCGATGTTGTCCCCAAACTTGAGCGAAAGGATAGTAATTGATTTTAATTTTTAGAAAACATTCATGATATAAACTTAAATTTTTTTGTATTTTTGTTCTTGTAAGTATTGAAGAGCAAAAGTAAGTATGTATTTAAGTTATCGTCTCCAGAAGGACTAGTGTGGTTTCAAAAAAAAATTGTCCAATAATTTCTATGATTTTAAGGATGGTTTACCAAAGTTTGTTTGCTTATGAAATTATACTAACAAAAATTATATTAAACTTTGGTGTTAATAGTTGAGTAAACTTGTTGGAGTTAGATTTCATCAACCTATCGTCATGTATGATCGTGATCAGTAGTAATATGCAATTATAATAAGCTATTAATATTATCACTCATCTCTTCAAGTTGTAGCTTATATCTAAGTCAACAACATGAGATCAATCATATTACCTAATAGACAATTTATCAACCTATTAACCAATACGATAACTTTATATTTCAATATTTTTTGTGGATTCTAAACCTAAATCTATCTCTTGAACTTAGTATCTAGCTTATGAAAATGCAGGATCTAGAAAAAACAAGTATCTCTCAATATCTAATCATAACCATGAAACATGTTTTAGTTATTTAATCCAAAAAATTAATTAAGCACAAAAAATCATCAATATTAAAGCATAAGAAGAATTACATAGAATTCCATGATCACAATTGATACTGAGCATTTGAACAACTGCACATAACCCTAACCAAAGATAAATTAGTTACAATTACTCATCATAACTTTACAATTATGATCTAGAAGAAAGAAACTGAAGAGAATATGTGTCTATTCCTTGGACAATGCTTTCTCCCTCTATCTTCTTTTCATTTACACTCTTGTTGGGATTTTTGGTATCAAGTGTATTTCTACCTTAAATCCATCGAAAGTTATCAAGTGAACTCAGTTGAACTTCTATTTATAGAGTTATGATGGTTCCTTACTACTAAGCGAGGCTTGTAGCTCACTTATAGAACTTGTGTTTCTTTTCCCCTAAGTTAAGCTAACTCATTTGCAAGTGGATTTTTTCGCCATACTTCGCTTATTGCACCTCCCATTCTCTCTTAGAGAGCAAACTATTCCTTTCCTCTGAAGTAATATAGCCAATAAGAATTAAATCTCCATTCTTCTCTTAGCAAGTTTGACTCTTTGCTTAGCAAGGTATGTTTCATAAACTATAATCAATACGGTTTATCAAACTATCCTCTTGAATCAAGCTAAAGATGTGCTTGAAGAATAAGTCATCTCTTTGAAGTCAAACAAATACTTTTGTTTCAAGGATCCACTACTATAGAAAACATATACAACAACGGTTGGAAAAGGGAAAACATCACGCGTGACCTGCCGTTGTTATGTAGGATGTGATTGTATATGCGCTACTTACACTCACGGTCTTATGACCATTGTAGAAAACTTGAAAGCGCGCTATATATGGTCACAGTTGCTATAACTAACTGTTGTAATATATTAAAGGTCTCAGGTTCGATTCTCAGCGATGCATCTTTTGGTGTAATATATTATTTTAGACAACGTTCACTATACAACCATGATTATATATTACAAACGTCGTTAAATTATATGCTTTTTTTAAAAATAATTTTTTGCATTTTGAAATTTTTTTTCATTTTTTTACCTGTATTTTTTTGAACCATATCATAACAGAAACAACAATTGTATCATAATGAAGAATTGTATTATATTACATCAAATCCATACATTGGATTAAGAACCAAACATTGTATATATATTACATCAAAATAAAAATGGCACAAAACGACCTAAAAACATTATATAACATCACATAATTGTATCTTATAATATTTTGGTGTCTTATCTCTTGGTGTATTGACTTTAAACACCTACGATTTCAAATAGTCATATTTTTTAGTAAATATACTTAGAAATAATGACTTACATTAATTAAATTATGAATAAAGAATAAAATACTAATTAATTGTTAATTTTACCATATGCCTTCATTATGATCGATACAAATAGCATGCACATCATCTCTATCAACTTCGTCATAAGTGGTAGGTACTTTTTTTGTGTAACAAGGAGTAGAAGGAATATCAAAACTTTCATCACTACTAGGAATGTCTTTTCCCCGGAGAACGATTGACCATTTCCCGATGTGTCCTAAGGGTCGGTCACATAGAAAACTTGTTTTGCTTGTGAAGTCGTGATGAATGGTTAGGTCATATTATTTTCCTTGCCAAGGTCAACCCAGGTGAATTCTAAGTCATCAGTTTGTACACCATTAATATTATTGGGAACTCACTTGCATTTAAATAAAGACATTCTGAAGATAACATAATTGTTGCGGTGAAAATTTGATATCAAGCCATTATATTAACTTGAATCTTAATTCTTTTACAACCGAAATTTATTTTATCCAAAGGAAAGGTCTAAAGAAAGAAAAACCTTTTTCATGATGTAACGACAACGCTTGAGATTCGGGGATTGGGGGTTAGTTATACCTAGGGAAGGTGTTAGCACCCTAAGCATCTGTAGTACTCTACAGGAACCTTTTGTTTGATTGTTTTCTAAGTTTGTGAAAATGTGCTATGGATTGGGAAAAGGTATAAGTTGAAACCTAAAGTTATATACACTAAGCTTGCTCGCAAAGACGTCGCATCTTCTGCCTATGTATCCTAACTAGAATAAAATCAGAGTAATAGTAGTTCACCTCACAAGGGAAGAAGAACACTTGATTATGATCAAGGTTCAAGGGGGGAACAAACATGACAATGTTTGTGTGGAGTTTTACAAAACTCCCTAATCTAAATTATAACACTCAAAAGGAGAAGTAAGAAATCATGACGATGATTCTTACATAGAGTTGACAAACTCTATCCTAGGGTTCTAGTTGAAGAATACTCCTAGTACAGGTGGGTTTCTTAGACTTGAAGCAAAGTCTAATGGTTTCTAAACTAAGGTTAAAGTGACTTAACAAAGTCAAGGGAATGGGTGAATGAGTTATCCATAACATAAGGGTTAATGAAAAGATTTTTCCTTTGGAGAGAGAGAGAGAGAGAGAGAGAGAGAGAGAGGAGGAAATTGGGATGAGAACTAACAAGCTTCATCACTTGGGGAAAGAAAACATTAAGCAAAGCATCAACATGATAAAGGTACATACATGGTGACAACCATTAAATGAACATGTGAAAAATAAAGATGCATCGATGACAAACAAAGCAGTTGATTAAGCAGGAAGTGTGACGACAGATCAAGCTTAAGTGAATGCAACAGGGGGGACAAAATAAACATGGTAACAACCACAAATAAAATCCTAGCATGTTGACTAGCATTAAGGAAAAGAGGGTAAGCAAATATCATGACATTCACAGGTATAACAAGAGAGAAATTCATCTGCATATGTGGAAACGGTTACAAAATGCACTTTAACTTGCAAGTAGTCAAAAGGGATGAAAAATTAGGCAAACATGGAATTTTAAAATATGACATAAAAGTAGACATAAAAACAAACACAATGCAAAAAGAATGGGTGCAAAATGATAAAAAATGAGAGAGATATGAATTTTTGAAGTTTGGTAAAATAAAATGGAAAAATGGTAAAAGGGTTGCCCTCCTCAGGGGCCGAACCTAGGTTCACAAGGTACAAGGCGCTTAGGTAACAAGTTGCTTACCACTGGGGTGGCTATACATCCATTGATGAAAGCCACCCCATAAACATATATGGGTAACATTCAAGCAGGCTGGGCACAAAAACATGAACAAAACTTGGATTTGCATTTTGACCATAACTTCCTCAATTCTTGATAGATTTTCACAAACTTTTAGTCTAAATTGCCTAGAATTTCACAAGGAACATGATGGTGGAATTGGTTTTCTGAAATACCTTCCCCATTTTAAAACCCGATAGCACATGCTTTGATGATATGTGGAATGCATTTTGAAACTCAAGACCTGTTCTAATCTCTTTCAAATCAAACTAATCACATACACACACTATGAATATGCTAATGAATGAGTGTGAGCACAAGGTGGAGTTCAGAACAAACTGTAATGAATACTGATTGTCAAGTTGCAAATTTGTGCTTGTGAAAATGCATGATGATGTCCAGTTTCAATTCCAAACATATTCAGATCAAACAAGTCATATACACACACTATATACATGTCATTGAGTGAATTTAGGCAAAAGATTAGGCCCAAAACAGTCTGTATTGAAAAGTGGTCATCAAGTGGTAACTTTGACATATGCAATGCATCATGAGGTTCAGTTCTGATTCCAGGCACATACCAATCAAATGAATCATACATACAAGTCACATATATGCTGGCAAGTGAATTTAAACATAAAGATTGGTGCCAAACAAGCTGTGACAAAATAAAGGTGGTCATGCTGTCATTTGGTGTTTTTGGTGATGCACGAAAAGTTCAAAATCAGATATATGCATAATTAGATCAAGTGAACCACACACACAGTTCACATACATGTTATTGAAGAACAGTGAGAAAAGTAAACAACTCAAAATAGCCTGTGGTGATAAGTGATATGTAAAATGCAAACTGGTGTTTGTGAAGTGCAGTAGGATATTCAATTTCAGTTCCAAGCATGATATTGGCAAATAAATCACATACACATCTCACATATATGTAGGCAAATGAGTTCTAGCAAGGGGAATGGTTTCAAACTAGTTGGCATGAAAAATGACTTTCAAATTGCATTTTGATGTTTTGGTGAAGCATGAGAAAACTCAAATCAATTTATATGCACATTTTGATCAATTAGACTATGCACATTCTTTTCATATATGTTAACAAACATTTTCAAGCATGGAATTGATTTCAAAACAAGCTGAGGTAAAAATGAAGAGCAGGCTGCCACTTGGTATTTTGCAATGCAGTAGGGTTTTCAAAATCAGTTCTAGGCACATATTGATCAACTAAATCATGCACACAAGTTACATATATGGAGATGAGTATGTTCAAGCAAAGAAAGTAGGCCAAACAGCCTGTTATGAAAAACAAGTATGCTTGCTGCAAAATTG